ACACACACATACACATGCATCAAAAAAAGAAAAGAAAATCTTCCTCCCAAGTAAGAAAACAATCCTCCCCAACCCCTCCCCCTCCCACACACACACAAAAAAACTAACAAAAGAAAAAAAACGAACCAATAAAAATAAACCCTCTTCGATAAAAAGGAAAAGAAAATCAAACAAAAAAACAAAAACAAAAAATTAAAAAAATTACGGGTAAGTTTCACGGCTACATCCATGTTATGCTTATAGAGAGTGTAGACCCGGATGTAAGTAGTAGACGAAGTAAGCTCCGAACGGAGACCTCAACTAGACCTTTACCTATTTATCTATTCTCATAATGAAAGTTTGTCTTGTTTTTCTTTCAGGTCAAGGAACGCTTATGGAAATATCCCCGGACTAAACTGTTCCACTCCCAGGAGGACTAATGATGGCCAAGACCCGTCGCCACTTACATCTCCTCTTAACATATTGACCCCCCCCTCCCCAACTTATCTCTCTGCCTTTCTCTCTCTCTCTCTCTCTCTCTCTCTTTCTCTCTCTCTCTCTCTCTCTGTCTCTCTCTCTCTGTCTCTCTCTCCCTCTCCCCCTCTCTGTCTTATCCTCTCTCTTCTGTCTGTCTGTCTGTCTGTCTGTCTGTCTGTCTGTCTGTCTCTCTCTCTCTCTCTCTTTGTGTATTTATCATTTGAAAAAGGACTGCGTTCGAGTAACGTTCAAAGAAACATCGAACTTTTGTGAAACAGAGAATAAACGTGGTCTGTCGAGACACGTGTTAATATTTAATTTTGGAGGAAGAGCTGAAAAGAGTGGAGGTATCGAACATCGAAAAGTGAGATGAACTACATTAACGGGTAAAAAAATAATAAATAAAATAAAATATAAAATTAGTAAATGGCGCCCACAGAAAGGCTCCACAAAGTCGAACATCGCGCTATTCTGACCAAGTTTAAAAAATTGGCCAAGTATATAATTTGTTCGTGACTGTATATCCAAATAAAGTTCAGTTTGTATATTGATCTGTCTTAAAGAGTGTTTTATTTACTACAGTACTGTCCCATGAATAGAAATTCCATTACGCTTGTTATGCAATATTACTTTTGGTAAACTTATTTTTTTTGTCCACACAGCTTTTCTGTCGAATACTATGATGTATTTGAAAGTCTGCTCTCTCAAGAATTCACCAAATAAATAATATTAATGTGTACTCTTGACATCACTGAACAACAGAAGGCAACGGTAATGAAAACAATGCCAGTCAAGCTTCTGGTGCACGAATTGCAACTCTCAGGGGGAAAGTTAAGTCTAGATCTATGCCTCCATGTGGTTGGATGGTGGATTATTTATGTACCAGCACGCAGAAGGAACATACACTATAACCTAAACTCATCAGCCAGCAAGCACCAACCCGTAATACTCCCTTGTCACCAGTTGTAACTGTTCATGTGTTTGTCATTCCGGTGGTACTGACAAGACGGATTTTATTTGAATTTATTAAGAGTTTTAAGACACTTGCAACTCAGTTAGGTCATATAAGTGCCGAGGATTAGACTAAGAAAGAATAACTGTAACACTCAAGGAGAAGAAGGAGGAAAAATAAAGATGATAGACGTTTGATGAGAAAGAAGGAGCACCCCCCATCCCAGAACACCAGCCAACCACCCACCACGACAGTCTGTTGCCCTGTTTTGTTATAGAGAAACATGTTAAGGTCACTATTTTACGCACTTTTTAATCATTGAATCATTGTTGCGTTGTTGTTGCTTTTGGGTTTTTTAAATTCTCCGCTTCAAAAGTACCTACATTTTTTCCACCCTTGACCTTGATCAGATTCGTTAAAATGTATAATGTCTTCCAGTAAAAGCTGCTTCTACAATTTATATTTTACGTAGTAACTGGAAAGCGCTCGAATCTGTCAACCCCCGGGTTCTGAGTCAATTTCTGTTTATCCCATCGCCGGCTTCTCCAGGGGAGCACATCGTTGGCTTCCACAGTAATCAACTTGAAACTAAGGCGTGTTGGAAGGACGAGTTTTGTCTGGTTGTTGATGATAATAAATAAACTCCGCTGGCAGTTCTAAGCATTCTATGGCTGACACGGCACAAGAATGCACTGATGACCTCAGTGTCGCATGAATATCATTACTTTTTTATTTGTAGGCCTATAGTGTGCTATATTAGGCATAATTTAATTTTATACTTCGACTTCTTTTTTTTTTCTTCTCTTTTTCTCACTATCCACCTTAGTACAAAAGCTGTTCACGTATACCTATCACTACCTGCTAGCTAGTTTTGGTATGCGTTGTTTACTTCTGACGATAACAGAAAGAACATACTCTCAGTTTCCCAGGACGAGAACTGTAACAAAGGACAACGTAAGGTTCTACGTCTTAGGTCTTTTCCTTCCAAGACGAAAAACGGGCTGTTTATTGTTTATTCAGTTGGAATAGTTTTGTTGGAAGTCTGCCTCCTAAATGATCTGAATTGTGTCGGTGCCGGCGTAAAAACACATACAAAAATCAACAACTCTACAATTCTTATCAGTGTACATATTTATGCCTTCACCGAACTATTTCAGTCTAAGAGGGCGTAAACATGTACCAAGGTTTTAAAAAAAATACCAACGCACTCCACATTTCGCTTTGAGCTGTCTCTGGTCATGGGAAATTGACAACCTGTCTTGTACGCTATCTGTGAAGACGTCGGTTTGGCTAAGCGTTGCCAAAAACGTCGCAAGCTTGACATAGGGGAAATTTGGCGCTTGCTCTCGATAGAAGGCTTAGGTCTTTTCAGAAGACGCCCTTCCAACTCTTACTTCTTACGTCACAGAGATACTGCACTGACAGACTTGGAGGCAGCTTCTGTGGCATTGCCGAATACGGACTTGATCGGTGTTACGAATGTTCGAATGTCGAATCCACATATTATTTCTATACCCCTCCCTAAAATACAGTTGAAATTTCTCTAACAGCCACCTGTATAAGACAACCACTCTTACAAGCGGCCACTTCCCATTTCTTCCCTTGTGTATTTTTCACATTACGATGGCACTGTGTAAGACGTCTACATGTTTAAGTTGGACACTTTACTCCTCGACAATAAGTGGCCGTCATAGACAATTTCAACTGTATCTCCATTTAGATTGGGGTCCGGATAGGAGGTAAAGTTTTACCCTTTCGAAATAACCTTGTTTGTGAAGTAGTAGAATTATATTTTAAAAAACCAACAAGACGAACAAATTGACTTCAGCTTTCCTTTGTAGGCCATGCAATTGCTAAAGTTCTTGTCCAATCACTGACTTTTCGAGTCTTCGACAGGGTTTATGTTAGTGTATAATGATTGCCATCAAGCTGATAAAATGTACTAGATTCTAGATTCCAAAAGCAAAATCTTCAGGAGAGAAAAAAAATCCTTCATTCTTTTAACAAATTGTATCTAAATCATAACGTATTTTTGTCTCGATTATTTTAACGTTTAGAGTTTGAATTTTTTGCGGACAAAATATTTCTTGTGCACAAACAACCTATACCACAGAGTGAGAAACTCCAATGATTTTTTAATAAATATTTTTGGGCTCAGTATTTTCACAACCCGCACATGTAATGATCGTTCGCAGTGCATTTTGCACTGTTGTATATGGGCGTTTTTTGTTAGAACGAACCTGACTAATCGGAGGCTTTGTGCGTCGAGCTTTGCACAAAGAAAAAAACAAACAAACCAAACAAAACAACCCCCCCCCCACACACACACAAATGGAAAAGATCTGATTAGACACTAATTCGGTTTTTATAGAAGGTCGACAATTCTACACTACACTATCACTATTAAAAAATCCTGTTTCACACCATATCGCCTATCAACCATCCACGAGAATTCTGCTTTACGTTGAAAGACACCAGTAAAATGGCTTTATGTTTGAGCAAGAAAGGCTAAAGAGTGCTTGTACTGTAGACCACAATGTTTGTATTCATATTTCGTGGGTATTCTGCCTGTGTCCAATGGACAATTTCTTTCTTTCTAATGTAAGTGTTTTTACGCCCCCAACGACACAACTCAGATAATTCAGGAGGTTGGCTTGGAGTCGGGGTCAACCCGGGCTGAGAGGGATACGACGTCCTATGATAAACATTCTACCCCTACAAGAATTGAAATCAGATCCTTTGCGCACGACAGTGAGGAGCCTAACCGCTACACCACAAATGTCAGCGTCGGTTATGTGTATGCGGGTTTGAAACCCGTTCTTTTGCCCCTCTACGCAACTCTATTTACTTGATCTTTTACGTGTGTGGGGGCA